TCTATTTTCATGCTTCTACATGTTGATATCCAGTTATGACAGCACCATTTGTTGAATATGGTTTCTTTTTTCCATTTCATATTTTTTTGCTTCTTTGTAAAAAATTAGGTGTTCATAGGTGTGTCCATTCTCATAAAAAATTTTAAAATACATAAGTAACATGTTCATTATTAAAATTACAAGTGAAAATCCTACTTCCAAGAGAAAGAGTGAAGAAGAATGAAAAAGGGAATTTGTGAAGGAGAATGGACAAAGGAGAGCGTGACAGAGAAAGGAAGAGGGGGAGTGTGAAGGAAAACAGACAACTATATTGGGACAATATCTGCCAGTCTGCAATCTAATGTAGCCCTTGATTGGAGAGTATTTGCAGGCTTTTTACAAAGTAATTAGGGAAGTGGCTGTCCAAATTTTAAAAATAGGCAAAAGTTTTGAACAGGCACTTTAATCAAAGGCGGACAAATAAGCAACAAATATAAAAATAGGCAAAAGTTTCAAGCAGGCACTTTCATCAAAGATACACAAATATGCAACAAAGAAGCTTGCCACGAAAATAAATTTAAAAATCCAGCATTGATCATTTAGAAATGCAAATTAAAACTGAAAGGAGAGCGCTACATGATGACATGTCTAGTAGGATGCCTAAAATTGAAAAGATGTGTCATGTGACATGCTGGCTTGTATATGAAGAACACGCAACAGTTCTCAAAGAGTTTCAACAGAAATAAAACTTGGTAAATCTACTTAGAAAAGTCCTAAAGGACTTCCAGATTATGGCCTACATGAAGAGTTTGAAAATGTCTTTAAATCTTGCTTTTCTTGTCTTTGTAAAGAGCTCACACTCATTACAATAGAATTGTTCCTTATGCACATATGTAGCTTGAAGTTTGAGAGCCAGAGATTCTTTTAAAAAATCCAAAAGATAGGCATAATGATCAAAATGAATAATTTAAATAGTAAAGGTAATTTTACCTGTCAGCGAGCACTATACCAGCTTAAAGCCTAAACATCTTACAGTGTCCAAATTCCTTGACTTCTAAAATTGGTAGTTACTGAGGCTCAAAGTAAGTCTTGTATAGGCCAAAGGGTCTGTGATAATAGATAGATAGATAGATAGATAGATAGATAGATAGATAGATAGATAGATAGATAAACCCTGGAAAAGCCACTGTAAGAAGGAAGGGTTCCAAAGGGTCTGTGATGATAGATAGATAGATGATAGATAGATAGATAGATAGATAGATAGATAGATAGATAGATAGATAGATAGATAAACAATGGAAAAGCCACTGTAACAAGGAAGGGTTTGTTCTGGTGCACCATTCAAGATACTGAGCTATTGCATCATGACAGGGAAGACAAGAAAGAAGATGAGGCAGCTGGTCCCATTGCATAGCTGTCAAGAAACAGAGAGCACTGTGCTCAGGATTCTTGGTGCTCAGCTCACTCTTCCTCCTTATACAGTCCAGAATTGCTTTCCCAGAAGATGTTCTACCCCCATCAATCATAATAAGATAACACCCCACAGGCATGCCCAGAGGTCCAAGTCCTAGGTGACTCTAGGTTCTGTTAAGCTGACAACACTGACCCTTCATACTTAGGACCTTGTATAGTCATGGTGGTTAGCTGTGGAGCCAGATAAGGTCCTGATAGTCTGTTTTCTCGTAGCCCTTGTGCCTGGTCTAACAACTGATCTAGTAGAGAGAACTGAGCAAACTTTCAGGAGAGCAAGGTGTGCAGATTTGTAAACAGAAGGGGGAACAGATGTTTTGAACCTCTTCTACAAGCGTTACACAGTACGGAGTACTGAGGAAGTTAAGTTAGCTCATTGTCTTCATACACATGCTTGTTAATGTCTTCATGAGAACATAAATTCTGGGAATTGTTTAGAGTCTGGCAACTAAAGATGAAAAGTGCATATGATGAAATACCTGGCAAGTAATGTTTCTAATACAGAGATAATGAGAGTGATTTTTTTTTTTAAGAGAAGTTGGTGTTAAGTAGAAACTTACTGAGGAGAGTGGAAAGGGCATCCCACGGATGCATTTGAGCAGGGATGAGTGGTATGCTCATGTTCACAGGAACCCAGGGGATGGCATCCCTGAGATGATGGCATTCATGAGGAGGCTGGCTAAGAAGCACAGATGGAGTGCTCTTGAGGCCCTGAGCAACCAATGCATAGCATAGTGGGGGCAGAGACAGAGACAGGAGAAGACAGCCGTCCTGTCCGTTCGCACTCCACTCTGCTCTGCGATGTTCCTTCAAGAAGCAAATACAAGCACACAGACACAGGCACACGTAAGCTATATCCTGTTCTCCAATTGGTGAGTTGCGTAGAATCTGGCTATTTTTAAGGGAGAGCTGAAACACAGAACATTTAAGGAGTCTTCCCAGGCTCACACAATGATTAGTGGACATCGAGGGGGGCAGTTCATGCAGATAAAGAAAAGCAGAGGACAGAGAGGAACTGGGCTGCAGTGTAGGCTTGGCCACTTTCCATCACACGCCTGGAAGAAAATGATTTCCTAGTACTTTATATACAAAATAAAAGGACAAAGACTATAGGGAAGAGCATACAGTGGAAGGATTTAAATAATGAATGAATGACAGACTGGGACTATAGCTCCTGTCTAGTGGGCGGGGCTCAATTCAATCCTTAGTATTAGAAAAACACGGGACGAGTGGCAGGAGAATATATGAGTGGACTTCTGTCTGTGCACAATTGAAGATTTAATTTAAATAATCAAAACAATCCAAATTTTTTAACTAGCATACTTCTCATGTACAATTTTAAGTCTCTCTGGCAACATTTTGGGTAGGGAATAAATATCTAGGGTGGGTTCATCATTTCCTTTTAGCTTTATTTTGTGTGTGTGTGTGTGTGTATGCAGGTGTGTGTGTATGTATGTATTATACAGGTGTGTGTGGGTGCATGAAAATGTGTGTTTATGTGTGTGCATGTTCTAGGAAAACCTTTGTGTCATTGGTCTATTTCCAGGTTTCTTTCTTTTTTTTTTTTTTTTTGTAATCAAACTCTCTGGTGGGACTTGAACTCACTAAGTAGGGCTAACCAGTGAGCTGCAGGAATTCCGCAGTCGCTGCCTCACCTATACTGAAGTTACATGAGTATCTCTCCATACCCAAATATTTTTAGGTAAGTTCCAGATATTACCCTCTGGTTCCGAGATCATTCATTGTGGTAAGCCCTTCAGTGACTGAGCACCTTTCTTTCTTGTTGGCATGGCCTTTCTATGTAGAACAAGCTGACCCTAGACTCCTGATTTGTCTCCCACGCATTAGGATTCCAGACCTTTGCCGCCATAGCGAGTCTTGCCAGTTTATTTATATTAGAACATGCCTTGTTTTCCAGTTTGTGCATGGCTCAAGTCTTTCTTGTTCAACTCTTCTCCAAATCACGTTTTCCTTTATTTTTGAGATATTTCAGTTATCCTGGAAAGAAAGACGCAGTGACTATGGCATCATACTTCATCGAATTATCACCTCCATAGTGTTTTCAGAGAGAAATAGAAGATGGCCATTATGATATTGGAGGAGCTCCATGAATTTGTAAAACTTAAGACCACCCGAGAATACAGGTGAACAGTGAAAACTCACTTAAATTTCAGAGAGCAGGACAGATGTTGGGACATTCCGGCTTAATATTTCTTACATCTCATTATGTGAAGTTATACTTACTTCTTACTTGGATATTGGAATTAGTCTCCCATATCCCATGACTGACAAGCTAAAAATCTACAACTCTCCCATAGACTTAATAATTGGATTCATCTAATCACTAATCAGTGGGAGAAAAAAAAAAAACTGGTTAAGTCACCAAGAGGTATAGAATGGACCCTTTGAATGTAACTAACGCGAAAGGGAAATATTAGGGAGCAATTTCAACTGAACAAGATAAATGGAGAGGTGCTATTTCCTGTTCCTCTGATGTAAACAAGGAAACTGTCCCACTGGCCTGGCCACAACCTACACGTCCCAAGGCCACAGTCCTTTCCTCCCTTGCACTTTCCCTAAGGGAGAATTCTGGATCATAAAAGGAAGAAACCCGGTCTGAATTCTTTCCAGAAATGATTTGAGATCTGCGCTTGTGACATCTTATTATAAGACGAGCTAACATCTATTATTAATTGATGCACTAATTAAAGCCATACTCGCAGTTTCCATTAGCTTATTCCCTAAATTCTCCAGAGTTGGGCTGTCTGGTTTTAATCAAAACCAAATGGTAGCCCAAGCTCCCAGCGTGGAGCAGCGAGGAGGAAGTCATTCAGTGGAGGCACAAAAGCAGAAAAGATAAACAGATGAGAGTTCACAAACTGTGTGTCTGGGGAAGGATGCACACCCCGCTAGCCACTTAGGGGATGTGATTGAGGGGCTCGGCCATGCAGGAGGAAGCACCGCAAGTGTTTAATGTCAGCCCAGCTCTCTAACAAGATCAAGATGGAGTCTGCCTCCTGCCTTTCCAGCCGTGGCTGTCTGTAGCTGGAGGATCCTGACGGTAGTAGGTAAGGCTCCATGTGCTGAAACACAAACCACTGCGTTCTGCGAAGATTTCTGGGGATGGAAGAGGAGAAGAAAACGCTCTACCCTCCCAGGTTCTCAGAATTTTTACTTACAGATTTTTCTCAAGGCCAAGATGTAAAATTTAAGTAATTTTTAAAGGTTCTAAACTTCAGAAGAAGTACGGTATTAAAAAGCTCCGAATACATCTGTCTTAAAGAAAAAAAAAAACGTTTGAAATGAGAATTAACAGAAGGGTTCTGATCCTCATTTAACACAGTGGGAAAGCTGTGGATGGGAGAGCTGAGTTTTCTTTCTTCCTTGTTTGCCATGAGCCCTGTGGGATAGGAAGGACTCTAGGACTTTCTGACGCTAGCTAATCATCTCAAGAGCTTTGACAAACTCTCTTGGCTCTGTGTAAAATCAGAGCTTCAACGCCCAGGCAGCTCTGCTCTGCCCCTCCCCTCAGCTTCGTGCAGACTTTCTCACATGCAAACTTCTCAGAGGCAGGAAATACTTTGCAGGCAATCTGGGCCTGGTTGTGGAGGCCCCTCTCGCAAAACATCAGTCTGCATTTAGAAGACAGAAGTCACCAGGAACGCCTTGACAGGATCCGGCTTGAGCTGAGGCTCGCTCCAGCTGCAGAGGGTGTTTTTGTTAGAATCACACACTGCGTAAGGAGAACTGCTCAGAATAGAGCTGTGACCTCAGCCACGAAATGTGAATTTAGATTCTGGGGACGTTAACGGGACGGACTCCTCTCCTACCCTGGCTGGAACAGCGTCGTACCTTGGCGGCACCGTAACTCCTGGTCCAGGTAAGAAGCTGAGACTGTCATCTAGGAGCCGGAGCGGGAAACCCTGGCATCTTCAGCCAGCTGTGGACTGCTTTCAGGGAGCTCTGGAAGCAGAAGGGGAAAGGGGAAAATGTTTAGTCAGGAGAAAGCTGCGAGTCAAATCCTTTTAGCAAAATGTCATTTCTAAAATATGCTCCACACGGTTTGAGTCTCCTTCCCCATATAGAAAGGTTTTATTTTGATTTCTTTTTATTCTTAACTTAGTGACCAACCCAGCTACAATATTCTGCGCTGCCGATAAGTAGCATAGCTTGAGGAATGAGTCTTCTCACATCAAAGTGTGAAACTTTAGGGAATCCGCCCTCCTCTCTGTTTTCCCAACAGAAAGAGTACCTAACGTGACAGTACTTTGTTTGCTTAATAATGCCCCTCCAAAGAATATTCTGCATCTTCTTGATCACCGTGAAGATCAAATTCTTTAATTATTGCTCCCAATTAGTTTCAATTGCTTGTCCAATTACTAACGTACACCTTAGATTGTTTTTTAAGAGAAGGAAAGGCATGCAAGTTTACGTGTTATTTACGTCTTTGCATATTTAACTTCAGTTTTGGAATTTAAATGTCAAAACTGGGTTTTGCTTACATCAAACTTGAATTCACTGCCCGGATCTTCTGTTGTATGAGTACTCTCTCTGCAACTAAAGCCATCTGAATGGCGGTGTGCTCGCGTCAGTCATGTGGATGCGTTACTGACCATACATTCATCCGTCATGTCATCCTGAAATCATTATCTCCGCACTTCAATCTTCTAAACTGTCTTAAAGGTTCAATGTGGGAACTACGAGTAAATAAATAAATGTAACAAGGATTGGAATAGCTTAGAGTTATGATAATAAATATGAGGCTATATTTCTGAATATTTGGAAGGAAATTATTTTTAAAGCTTGTAAGAAACATCAGCATGTGAAGATAACAAACATCCATGCCTATCTCCAAATCTCTGAAACAGACACAAAATGGACCAAGGGAAAGATGGGTCACAGTTTTGACAGTTGGATCAGAAGAAATCAATTATTGTTCTAATCATAAACTTGGACAAAGTACAAGATGATCATTTGTGGTGTTAGCTCTAATTTTTTTCATTTCTAGGCTAGGATGATCTCTGTTTATGCTTTGATGTGGTCACTAACAGTTTAAGCTTAATTAAGGCTTTTAAAAATATGAGAAAAACAACATTTTAAAATGTGGAAAGTGAAATTCTGGGGCTTTCAGAGTATAGATCTGTGGTAGAGCAGTGGTTTACCCCGGGTTCAATTCCCAGCCCCAACAAGAAGAAATGAATTATGGCATATCTAAATTATGTAATAAGATAACAGAGGAGAATGACAGGGCAAGAGAGGGCATTAAATCACTGTCTCTGATGTTGTCAGAAATTGCCAACAAGAAAGCTGAAGAATAATATTCAGAAATGTCCTGTGCAAAGTTCCACTGCAGTAGGCTAGTAGATGCCAGGGAGGGGAACTGCAATCTCCTGCCTCATGTATTATGGTCTTTACACCACATCCTTTGCTCTCAAATAGTAACTGTGCACAGTAAAGCATGAGCTTGTCCATCAAATCGGAGGCCCCTTTTCAGAAAGGAAATTGAGATTCTTTAAATAAAAGAACAAATTCGTTAATTAATACCACTTTCTCAATGGCTAAGATTTCTTAAAAGGGTCCATTATGCTTTCATCTCAGACTTTAAAGTAGTCACTTGCTTTATGATTACTTTGTTAAACCTTAGTCTTAGGCTAAACAAGTCAATCATATGCTCTGATGATGCTCGTTTGAGACCAGTGTTTCTTTCAAGAAAATGTCCTAATGAGGAACTTGCTCGTTTTATATTCTTACATTCAAAGAGCGTAATAAAAAGTTTATCCCCACCACTGACTATCAGAAGTAATTTTACAGCCCTTCCTCCCTTATAATTGTCTCAGGACTCTCATGAATCTTTCTACCATCTCAGTTAAATATTGCCATGGCCTGTTTCCAATTCTGAGTGCCAATAGTCTATATGTCCATCAGAAAACGTAAATGTGTAGCCTACAGTTTGTTTTCAACCTTTCTTCCCTACATGTACTCCGAGGCTTCAACCCAATCCTTTAGTACAGTATCCTCATCCTCCCTAATGCTGCAACCCTTTATTACACGTCTTAATGCTGTGGTAACCGCCAACCATGAAGCTATTTTTGTCGCCCCTTCACAACTGGCATTTTGCTACTATTAGACGTTGGAATGTAAATATCTAATGTGTGCCCCAGAGGGGTGGTGACACACATGATGAGAACCACTGCTCTAGTCATATACTATACAGCCCTTTTACACTGTGTGAAGGCTGGGCAGTGCAGCACCAAGTGAGAGTGTTGGCTAGTTCCTCTGCATCACGCATCATCCTTCCTGACAACGTATATGTGCTGCCGCAGTGTGCTTCTCAGAAAAGCTCTGCCCTGAAATGTTCTGTTTCTAATGCGTGTCCTTTCCTTCATAGTTCTGAACCTTCTTAATGCTGTGATCCTTTAACACAGTTCCTCAATTTGTGCTGACCTCCTACCGTCAAACTATTCCGTTGCTACTTCATAGCTGTACTTCCGCTACTGTCATAATCGTAATGCAAATATGTTAAATATTCGTGTTCAATCGAAAGATGTGGTATACTGGATATCTGATAGGCAATCCCTGTGAAAAGGCGGTTCGAAGCCCCAAAAGTGTTGTGACCCACAGGTGGAGAACCACTGCCTTAGAATATATGTCATGGGGCTGTTTGCTTTGGGGTTGGAGTTTTCCTGATGTTAACACCTACAATGCTACAAAACTCTCTGCCATGGCCATCCCAGTGCATGATAATAACCTGGGTGCCTTACTGCAGCATCACCAGAGTCTAACAAACAGAGAACAGTGCTTCTCTCTGTGTTCTGAAGGACACTCTCATTTATAGAAAGAAGTCTTCCTTAGACTTTGCAAACCTTTCCATACCATGCACCTTCCTGCCAGGTCCTCGGCTACGCTTAACTTACTTACTGATAAGTGGATTCATGGAGTGAAAATTGGTCCGAAATGGGTCATTAATAAGATGTCTTCTGCTTTTTATTGATTTCTTCTGGGAAAGTGAAAAAAATGTGTTGAGAAAACTCTTTACAATTATTTTAATATAGGAAGTTTTGAGTAATAAATAGCCCGTGGTTGACTCATAGGATTTTGTTTTTAGCATAAAGATCACCATTTCTGACTGTGGACAACTCTAATTCTTTTGGCTTGCAGGCATCTTTACCCATCAGACCTTGCCTTCTGTAGCTCAAGAGAGTGCCGCCTCCATAGTCCATCTGCTCACAATACCCTATAATTTCAGTTCACACTAAAGTTGTTCGGGTTCCATATTTTCCTCATTCCCCTCCAAGTCTAGGTGGATTGTAGAGTTAAGTTTATGATTATGGGTAAAAGCTAAACAAGAATAAAACAGAATATCAGCAGCTATACGTGGGATTAATTCCTTGAAGCAAAATTTTTATGCTAAACAAGCCGATGGAGAAATATCCCTCTTGGTCAGCTTTGAGGTGTTACAGAATTTACTATTATAGATCTTCTCTGGCATTAAACCGCCTATCAGTCTAGGAGTTTTGAGAGGCACAGGGACTTAGTTTTCAAAGAATTTTACAAAATGTAGGAAAACTATAGACATTGAAATCTGGCTTGAAGGAAATTGGGCTCATTCAATAGATTATAAGGTACTTATAGACATGACCTTGGAAAGAATTGGTAGGGAAGCAAATACAAGGGCATAATTTTAACTATAAAACAATACAGAAATTATTACAAGAACTTTCCCATTAGATGAGAATGAGTGATTCGAAAGGACATAGAATATTACAAACTATTCTATAGTATCTCAAAGTGTTTTAGCAACGCAATCCAGGTAAATCAAGGAGAAACAGGAATTATTAATGAAAGTGGCAACAAGGAGGAAGATGAGAGAGCAAGTTGAAAAAGTTTGATTCCTTCTCAGCAACTAAAAATACCTCTAGCACATTAAGAATTGCCGATACCTGTTTATCCGTAAATTGGGGAGTGAATTGGAAACAAGGGAGAAAGAAGGAAAAAACAGGGTTGCAGAATGTTAATGTGTGAGAGTTGGACTTGTACTCTATTCCCTGGGCAACCTGAAACGACAGGGTAATACTTGTTAAAAGGGAAGAAAAAAAATAAGTGGTTGGCAGAAGCCATCAGAAGCTGAGGCCAGAGGTTAACAACACTCTTATGAAATGACATTACAATTCATTAAGAAGAAGAAGCACAAGCTTCCAGAAATAGTTTGAAATGAAAGCGTATATGAGGCCAGCAGGAGGGGAGCTAGTAGCTTCTCCAGTCTACACAGGGCAGGATACTGGCAGAATCAGAAAGGATTCAGAACACTGACTCTGATCCCAGCTCTGCTACTCAATGCTCCTTGATTTGAATCACCAAGATTCACACGTTGATCTAAAACATCCATACTGAAGAAACATGAGCTGGCCATAAGTAATTCCACTTCATAGTCAGCTATGGTTCTGCAGCAGCAGGAATCCTCCTCTCCCCCCCCCCCCTGTCAGCATCATTCTGCATCTAGTGAGTGCCTGAAGTGTGTCTTTGATTGAGTGCTCTGTTTATTCTTTTTAAATCATGTTATATTAATTTGTTGTTTCTCATTAATAAGATTCAAATGTTTTAGGAAACAACTGAAATCTCCAGGGGGAAATATGCTTTAACAGATGCCTTGTCTAGACATACGTGTACACACACACACACAGAGAGAGAGAGAGAGAGAGAGAGAGAGAGAGAGAGAGAGAGAGAGAGAGATCTACCTACCGAAATGCTATTTAACATTTAGCTAGATGCTTAGATCTCTCAGTGTTTCTCTTTATAAAATTGAGCAATGACAAATTTTGATAGGGTGTTTGTATTATTACAAAAATAACACAAGAAGTGGAGTACCTGGTCCATTTTATG